CTGCATGATTAAATTGTAAACCACTCAGCAAGTGCTTTAAGCAGCATATTTTGTTTTTGCTTTTCTTTAATTTGTGCCATAAGTTAGATTTGAACCTGTAACTGTAACGGGCAGCCATGACCTCACCTGTCCGTCACAGCTGGGCAGTGAGTCATCAGCCTATGGTGTGACGGCGAGTGGAACTTAAGGGGAGGAGCTAGTATAAAAAGGGGGGGTGAAGAGAGTGTGAGGAGAGATTGGAGATGAGAGTTTGAGCTGAGAGTATAAAGTGATTAGTTGTAAGAGTGAGTGAGTGAGCCTGTCAGTGGAGAAATAGTCTGTGAGAGCCAGTGTTTTTATTAACAGTGATTGACTAATTGATTTTTACCAGTGATTTACCATTCTTATTTTTGTAATCAATAAACCAGTTTTTGTTTTTCAAAGTTACACTTGTCCTTCGCTTGATTTTCAAGGATAAGTTGGTGGCAGCAGAGATTTTAATAGTAAAGTAGCAACCACTCTGTGAAGTCTGAGGGTGGCTGTTACAGTAACATTCACCCAGTTCTCCAAGTATAGCATGGTGCTTTGCATGCCCTGAAGGAGATCCTTGTTTGGAACAGTTTCATTAATTGGTTCAAAAGCTGCTATCATTTAGCACATGCATTCCTTTGCATGATTGAAGCCTCTTCATGTATGTCAGGCCACCACATGTGTGGATTATGCCAGGATGTTGGAAACTGGAGGTTGTGTTCTTTTGCCAGTACATTATTGCATATATTTCCATTTCGAGATAAGGGAACAAGTTGCACTGTGAGGGGGTTGGAGACAAAAACCACACTCTCCACCAAATGTTGTAATGTTACCTAAGTAGACATTCCTGTACATCATTTGGCTCCCTTGGTTTGAGAAATGTGCAAATAATAATGACTAGAATTTGGTATTTGGTATGAGCTGAATTTTTTTTAATGTTTTCTTTCTTTAGGCTTCATTGGCATTCAATATGGCAGACTTCCTTTGAATCATATTTATAAAATAAACTACAGTATAATTAAGCCAACAAAGCCAATCTTTTAAAGAAGCTTAATAGCTCCATTTTTCACTCTGTAAATTTGTTTTATTTTAAAAGATGGGAGGACATTGTTCTGCCTCCGTTCGGTTGTTCTGTTTCCTTTGCTTTTCTAATACTTCTTTGCATCTTAAATCTGTGCATATCTAGTTTTTTGACAACTATTGATTATTAATAAAGTGCTCATGAAAGATATGCTTCATAGCGTCTTCAACAAGAATAATGTTTTTGTTAATGGGAAGTGTAACATATCTTGACAGATACAATACATAAAACATACTTCTCTTTCCCCTCCTCCGGTTCGCATAATTGCTAATGTTGTGGTACTTACTACTGAATACACACGAAGTGGCTCAACAGATATGGCAGGTAATAATCAGAGTGGATGCTATTTTATAAAATGTAACTAAAAATATTTTAATGATATAAAAGCAATAGATAAATAAAAGCAATTACATTTAATTTGGCTTTCAGCTTGTGAGCAATTTTTTGTTAGCTTTAATAATGGAGAAAGCTCATGCAGAAGGGCTAATGGTAGATTTGGTGTTAGCACTATTCATCATGGTTTCTAAGTAGTACTTAGCTTGGGATATTTCCCAAGTAAAGGTAAAATATTCTCAGGGAGGGAACCTAGGACAATAATGGATTTGCAAATATTTCTCAGAAAAGTGCAACTTGATGGCTTTCTTCTCAGGAGTTTGCAAATGTTACCTTTGATTAAAATAATGTGCAGGCTTTGTAAAGATAAACAAAGATGGAATTTGCATGAACAAGAGCAGGCTGCATTAGGGACTTCTATCGGAGTTGTTCAGGAGTTCATTCACTTTTTATGCTCAGGAGCAGATTTCCAAGCATCCCCCCCCCGCCCCAAAGCAAAGCAGAACCATTGTTCACAGAAGTCATGGGAAGGTATCCTAAAAAGATTTTTTTCCAGTTTTTTTCCTGTGCTATCCCAGGGTACTTTCTTGACTACTTCAAAGAACAGGAAGGCACCCTTTCTCCAATCCACATATGGAAGCCAGCTGGCAGGTGAATCTTCCATCCACAAGAGCGATAAAAAGAATCATAGAATCATAGAGATGGAAGGGGGCAGAAAGGCCACTGAATCCAACTCCTGTTCAATGCAGGAATCCAAATAACCGTATATCTGAGAGATGCCTGTCTAACTTTCTCTTGAATGCCTCCGGTGTTGGAGAGCTCACCACCTCCTGGGGTAATTGGTTCCATTGTCATACAGTTAGAGCGTTTTTCCTGATATTCAACCAAGACTTTTTGTAACTTGAGCCCATTATTACATGTCCTGCACTCTAAGATGATTTGAGAACAGTTCCTGCCCCTCTTCTGTATAAAAGTTTTTCAAGTACTTGAACAGTGATATCATATTTCGCCTTGGTCTTCTTTTCTGAAGCCTAAACATGCCCAGTTCTTCCAGTCTTTCTTCATGGGGCTTGGATTCTAGTCTCCCGATAATCCCTATTGCCCTTCTCTGAACTTATTCCAGTTTGTTGGCATCCTTCTTAAAGTGCAGTGTCCAGAACTAGACACAGTACTCAAGATGGAGCTTAACTGGTGCCAAATACAGCTTCTTCCAGTCTTTGGATGAAGCTTAACTGGTGCCAAATACAGGGGAACTAGCACTTCACATGATTTGAAAACAAGATTTCTGTTAATACAGCCTAAAATAGCATTTGCGTTTTTTGCAGCCACATCACACTATTGACTCTTATTCAGCTGATGTCCTACAACTATTCCAAGAATCTTCTTGCATATAGTATGCAAGTATTCCCTCCCATCCTTTAACTGTGCATTAGGTGTCTTTCCCTAGGTGTACAAGTTTGCACTGATGTTCTACAACTATTCCAAGAATCTTCTTGCGTATAGTATGCAAGTATTCCCTCCCATCCTTTAACTGTGCATTAGGCGTCTTTCCCTAGGTGTACAAATTTGCACTTATCCCAGTGAAGTTTCATTCTGTTGTTTTCAGCTCAGCATTGAAGCCTCTCAAGATGTTTTTGAATTTTGTCCCTGTCTTTCAAGATATTAGCTATCCCACCCAATTTTGTATCATACACAGATTTGATAAACACTCCCTGCAGCCCCCACCCATAAATATGCTGAAGAGCACTGGGCGCAGGTTTGAGCCTTGTGGTATACCACACAGATTTGATCAACATTCCCTGCAGCCCCCACCCATAAATATGCTGAAGAGCACTGGGCACAGGTTTGAGCCTTGTGGTATACCTCTTGATTACCTCCTCCCAGTTTGATAACGAGTTTGTAATAAACTTTCTGCTAGCCAATAGTTCCCTCATATTTCTCAGGCCTGCTTTGCTTTTAGAGCAGCAGTCTTAATGAGGAAGGCTTGGGATAATGAAAAAATTGGGTGTAGTTGTTGCTTTTCTGCATAGTGGTTAAACTGCAGTACTGCAGCCAAGACTGCTCAAGACCTTAGTCTAATCCCAATGAAGCTTAGGTAGCCAGCTCAAGGTTGACTTGGGCTTCCATCCTTTTGAAGTTGTACCCAGCTTGTTGTGTGTAGCCTGCATAATTAAATTGTAGCTTCCATCCTTTTGAAGTTGTACCCGGCTTGTTGTGTGTAGCCTGCCTAATTAAATTGTAAAAACCCCAGAGAATACTTTAAACACCATGGTATATAAGCAGAATGCTTTTCTTTTCTTTCTTTCTTTTAAATGAGCCATTTTACTTGATAGAATTCTGGTTGTAATTAATATTTAACCAACTCATGTATTTTATCTATTTCATTCAATTGCTTTTACGATGGCTGGGGCTACAAAAATAAACTTGTTTTCAGTTCTTCACCAGGTTTCCCCAACCGATTTCCTGGCAAAATCCTGTCACCCCTTAACCTTATTCTATGGGATGCCATCCTGCAGAAGACTTACCATCAATGGAAGGGCTCCTTTGTGTTAGGCATATAGATCTAGTGAAGGCTTCCTTTACAGAAAGGTGGGTGTGTGGATGATCGTTTCCCAGTTTCTTCTCCCTCTCTACAGTCACTGCATTTTACACTGCTGTGCAGCAGGAAGATCCAGAGCAGCTTTTCCACATGCATGTGCTTTGGAAGGAGGAATCGCAAATGTTATTTTCCTGCATACTTTCTCCTGGGCAAGCAGAACTCACTGGCCAGAATTCTGTTGCACAATTCTGCATGCATAAAGTCTGGTGACATCAGCCACAAATTCTTAATTTAAACTTTCCTACCCTGCCCCAACTTCCAACCCAGGTGCCAAGGCTTCTTAGGGATCCCTTTCACCCTGAGTAAACCTTTGGGAGCCCCAGGATGGGAGAGGGAGAGCCTGTAATATCTAAAAATAAGAATCAGGACTGGAAATGGTGATGAATTTAGGATCCCCCTTCTCCAATCCAAGGTTTGCAAAGACTTCCTCAGGTCGAAAGGGATCTTTAGGGAGTTAGTTCTGATACCTGGAGAGGAGAGAATAGGAAAGTTTAAATTAAAGATTGGAGTCCCTGGCTTTTACACACACAGAATTGCACAAAAGAATTCCAGCCACTGAGCCATAATTTAGATCCACTCCAGTGAAAAACATGAGATCAGTGCATGATCACAGCTATATGTAGCTCATTTAATTCAGTTGTTCTTGCACTGATTGGTATCCTAATGGTTTGGGATCATAACAATGTTGATCACTGGGGGTGGAGAGAGGGCACCAAAACTAGGTACCTCCTTATCAGTTCTCCTGAACAGATGGCCCATAGGAACAAGGGAAATTTGGAAAAAATGGTAGTAGCATAGTAGTACTAGTATGTTGGAAGATAACTCCCAGGATCTCCCAACCAGCATACCCACTAGATGAGTGGCTCCCAACTTTGGGTCTCCAGATGTTCTTGGACTAAAACCCCTAGCAGCATGCTAGATCATTAGTCACAGAACAAAAAAAAGACACAGACCACCTATGGTTTTTTGTGTCTTTCAAATACTTTCTGTAATTTATTTCTTCAGTTTCTGTCCTGCCTTCTCATAGAACACCAGCACAAAACATAATTACAAAGGACATGCAAATAAAGATGCCACAAGATATCTTATTAAAACAGAGTTAGGCTGTGACTATAATGGAATGCTGAATCACCCTGACTCAGCTTTGCTGCAATTTTATTTGCAGCCTGTGTTATGGTTGAATTCACCATCAGTGATAACACACTGCAGACTGATTTGGGAGTTCAGTGTTCACACTGGATGCTATGCAATTGGCATTTCATCCCACAGCCCCACCCCCTTCTTTCTTTCCTCTGGTCCCACCTCTGCCTAACCTTTTATTGTTCACTGTCAAGCCACTTGGTTTTGAAAGGGTTATATAGTGTTCCATAAAAGGTTTCAAAGTTCTTCTTAACAGTACAGAAATACCACACACTACAGGCATGTATTTTATTTTATCCAGGTTGTTTCTCTTGTTCATAATATTTTTTAAAAAGAACATTCTTGTATGGAAGCGATCTAGTGCTACACTAGTATATCAATATTAGTGATAAGGTGATCTATATACATTTTTTTTAATTGGAGGATGATCAGGGGAAAGAACATGGAAGTTCATGTTCCTGCAGTCCGTAACAGTCTCAACTGCCTACATCACCGAAACACAAAACCATCTTTACAAGAACAAATCAAGTTATTACATGGCGAATAGTCTGTCCAAATTGTTCTGGCTTGAAAGAAGTAAAAGTACCCAGAAGCCAAGGGGAAAGAAAGCTATGTTGGAAGCAAAGAGGGCTGGACTGATTCAAACTGGCCTTGGTGTTGTGTGATCAATAAAATATAAATTCGTCTGTTTCAAAAGCAGAGCAAATCCCACAGTATTTGACCGTGTAGTCACAGCTTTACAAAGTTATAAAATTAAATAATAATTAAACATTAGAACACAATTGAATAGACAGCAATTTAAAAGTATAGCAGTAAGGAAATACAACAGCTACCCAGTAAGGAAGTACAACCCACCAACATAAAGAAATTATGGCTTGACAACGGAAGGGCAATAGAAAGGGGTCAGGGAGGGCAAGTCAGGAGGCAGCCTAGCTTCCCTTAGAAGACAACACTGTAGCCTGGCAGCTGCCACCAGAAAGGCCCAGTCTTCTATGGACACAGTCAGTCATCTCCCCAAACTTCATTGAAGGCCTCATAGCTTCACCCTTGTCTCTCAAACTCATGTGCTGCTTCTCTGATCCTTAAGGCTATCAAAGAAGAACCTATGAATGGGAGGGAGAAAAAGAAAATCAGGTCTCCTGTTACTCATTTCAAATATTTTCTGTATTTATAGTACTAATTTTATTAGCAAACACAAACATCCTCATGATGAACAGCTTGATTTACTCAAGGGAAGCCAGACGATGAAATAAACCAACTTCCATTCACTTAAAATAATTTTTTTAATGAAATTCTGTCTACTCAAAATGTTAAACCTGGCCTTATCGTCTCCCTCAATTCATTCTGTGACAGAGGAAATAATCCTTAGGCTCCTCCCTACTGTAGAAATACAGTAGACATCATTGTTAGATTCATTATTTAAAAGTGTTACCAAGGTTACAAATTACCATGACTGTGAGCAACAGGTCCCTCTGAAGTGGTATCATTACAGATTAACTGTAATGTGTAGGATTATAATAAAAGGCATAAGGGATTAGGTGTAAGGGGGAGAAATGTTAATAATAACTCAGATACAACTGGTGTATATTGTATGGCAGTTGGCTAAGGGTATCTTTCTAGCACTTATGATGCACTGTCTTATGTGGATGTGTGTAGCTTGTATGCTTCCAAAGGACTGCCATATAGCATGCAGAATTCATGAAAAATAAAACAAAGTGTTAATAATGTCTGTTCAAACATTCTGAATATGGAATCTTTGGGTTTTTATGAGAATTATCTGACTGATAGCAAAATATGTCCCAGTCACATGACAGTGGGCTAATCTCTTTAGGCTGGCAGGTTTGTGAAAACAGAAAACAGAATTAAGATGGAGCTATATGTAGGTAATGTTCAATTTTTGGTCAGAATTAGAACCTGGGGTGGGGAAATACCACAATTGTTGTGGGTTTTTTTAAACTTCAGATCCTAGAAACTGCAAGTCAGCTTGTCTAAGTTTTAATTAGGAACAAAAATGCAATAATATAGAATTTAGTTATTCAGTTACATTTTGTTTAAACGGCCCCCAACATGCATAAAATATAGATAAAGGAAATAAAACTGAAATCACAGAAAACTGAAGAACCATCATTGTCAATTTTGATCAGTAACTTAAGGGGACTAGAAATGTCTATTGATGGCTTTCTTTCTGATGTAATGTACAAAAAAGGGGGATTATGTCTCCCTTTCAAGTTCTGATGCTTGAGTTCTCCCTGCATTTGGTGCCTGTGCATCTCAGCACACCTCATGCATGAAGGGAGGTGCCACTTTTTCCTTCCATGAAAGACCAAAAAACAGGATGGGTGGGTGTGCAAGCCACTGGTCTGTCTCCATCACTTCCTGTCACATGCCATGCCATGTAATATGTGGAGCAACAAAAAAAAGGATGACATAGGTACTGATTTAACATGGTGAGGTTTTTTTTCTCAGCAAGAATGGGCATCAGATTCCATAGGAGGCATTGAAAGAACCCTAAGGGATCAAATTAATAATCATTTGTAACTACAGAGCTGGCAGGGACCCTATGGATCATCAAGTCCAGCTCTTGTCAAGGAGCAACAGCGGGGAACTGAAGTCTCAACCTCTGGCTCAGCAGCCAGATGCCTAAGCCACTGAGTTAAGTGAACAAACTATCTAGGATCAGGGATACAAATCTTATTTAATCCAAGTGCTTTTGCTTAATTGGGCTGTGGATAATGCATGTATTTGTACCTCTCCAAAAAAAAAAGCAGTATGTGATAACATCAGTGCAACTACCTCCAAAAATATAACACTTTGCTTTTGCTTACTGCAGCTCATATATTCCAGGTGCTTCTCTAATACCTTACTGGGTCCTTATAACCACAGTTTTTAGACTAACTCAACATCTGATGAAGTAGATATGGAAAACATTTGGCACTCCATATATTTTGGTTTATAACACTTACATCAGCCACCCTGCATGGTTAAGGGTAGGGGGTTATGGTCTATATCCTAAAACATCTGGTCCGTTAAAGGTTCTTCATTCCTGTGATAGAAGCTAATTAGAGTAGTTGCAGCCATCTCCTGCATCTCATCTTAACACTGCAGGTCAAGAGTGGGCAAAGTGAAGCCTTCAGGATGTTGCTAGATGCTAGGGTAGGAGTCCAACACCATATGGGTGTCTGTGCTTTGGCACCCTGTTAGAAATAAATGCAGATTTGAACACTCCATTTCTCCAGCTTTTTTTTAAAAAAAACCCTGTCATATCTGACAAAAAGTTTCAGAAAACGTAGAGAAGTTTGCATGCAGTTTGTGAAATCTGGTTGGCATAATAAAGGTATTGCTTAATAAAGATATTGCCATAATATTATAGGTAAAGGTTCCCCTTGACATGAAGATATTGCCATAATATTATAAGTAAAGGTTCCCCTTGACATCTAATCCAGTCGTGTCTGACTCTAGGGCGCGGTGCTCATCCCCGTCTCCAAGCCATAGAGCCAACATTTGTCTGAAGACAGTTTCTGTGGTCACATGTCTAGTTGCCAGCACAACTAGACACGGAGCACCGTTACCTTCCCACCAAGGTGGAACCAATTTATCTACTCGCATTTGTACATGCATTTGAACTGCTAGGTTGGCAGGAGCTGGGGCAAGCAACGGGAGCTCACTCTGTCGTGTGGATTCGATCTTATGTCTGCTGGTCTTCTGACCTTGCAGCACAGAGGTTTCTGTGGTTTATCCTACAGCGCCACTATGTCCCTTCATAAAATTATAGTAGCATTCAAATTTGACCCAGAACCAAATCCATCTGGTCCAGTATAGTAGACACTACAGCACTAGTACAATGCAGTTGTTAAAGGCCAATGTTGGTTGGAGGCCAGTTAGGAAGACAGTTTTCAAATGCCATCTCATGTCAGAACTGAATCACAGGTTTGTTGTGAAGAAGTATCTATATGTACATATGTGCAAGTATAGAAGCATTCAAATTTGACCCAGAACCAAATCCATTTGGTCCAGTATAGTAGACACTACAGCACTAGTACAATGCAGTTGTTAAAGGCCAATGTTGGTTGGAGGCCAGTTAGGAAGACAGTTTTCAAATGCCATCTCATGTCAGAACTGAATCACAGGTTTGTTGTGAAGAAGTATCTATATGTACATATGTGCAAGAATTGAGTTAAACAATGCATGTCACTCTAACTCTTTAATGGATCATCAGCAACAATGAATAATAAATTATTCTGCCCACAATTCTTTCGCTGTGTATGTACACTGTGTTTCTCACAGAATGGTTTTAGACACAGGTATCCTGAATTGGAGAAGACTCCCTGCAAAAGACCCTGATGGTGGGAAAGTGTGAAGGCAAGAGGAGAAGGGGATGACAGAGGATGAGATGTAAGGACAGTGTCATTGAAGCGACCAGCATGAATTTGACCCAACTCCGGGTGGCAGTGGAAGACAGGAGGGTCTGGCGTGCTCTGGTCCATGGGGTCACGAAGAGTCGGACATGACTTAACGTCTAAACAACAACAACAATCCAGAATTGGATGTATGTTGTCCATTCAGTAACATTTGGCTCCAGGCCTAAGTCTAAGAGGAAAACTCTGGCATGAATAGGTTGTATCTGGATTGAATATAAGAAGGTAGTTACTGGATTAGGCCAAAGATCGGTTTGATCCAGCAACCCACAGTGGCTAACTGAAGCCCTCAAGAAAGGTTTGAAGGTAGTAAAACTCTCCTACTGTTGCTTCCCTGCAGTGGGAATTCAATGGTATACAGTGGACCCTCGACTTACAGACGGCTCCACTTACAGACTTTTTGAGTTACTGACTTCTCTGGCCGCAAAATTTAGGTTCAACTTGCAGCCAGGGAATCAACCTACAGACCGGAAAAAAAAAAAAACAAAATGGAACAAAAATGGCCAGTTATGGATTAATCGGTTTTCAATGCATTGTAGGTCAATGGAGCCTGGACCTACAGACTTTTCGATCTGCAGCCACCATTCCAATACGGATTAATTCTGTAAGTCGAGGGTCCACTGTATTGTTTCAGGAATATGGATCTTCTGCCAGATGGATATCTCAGTGAGTTGGGTACCTGGCTGCAGAGCTAGATGGATATCTCAGTGAATTGGGTACCTGGCTGCAGAGCCCGAGGAGAGGAATTCAGTTCTTCATTAGGCTTCCCAAGAGAAGAGCCAGCCTGTGTATGAGGAGAGGAATTCAGTTCTTCATTATGCCTCCCAAGAGAAGAGCCAGCTTGTGTAACCTTGGACAAGCTGCAGAGTCCCGCAGTGCCCCTAGAACAAGGGAATGTTAAATGGTATCTAGAAAACACCAGCAAGGCTTGCCATTAAAGGTGGAATCTGTGGCCCTGCAGATGTTGGATTCCAAATGGGATCAATCTCAAACTGCAGCCAAATTTGTGCAGGGTCCCAATCACGGCCACAATTCTCCCTCTGAAATCCATGGAAACTAGGTATCATTTAAGCCCACCGTTTCCATAACGTCTGGAAACAAACTATAGGACAGGGGGTGTCAACTGTGAATCCAGACAAGTAGGAAGCTTGGGCCATTATGGGAAATGCACAGGCGTTTGGGGAGTTGTAGTCAAAGGATCTTTTCCAAGTCTTGGAAGCAATGACTTTTCCTTATTCCCTTATTTTTTTTTTTTTAAGAACACAATAAAATCAAATTCGATTTTAAGATATAAAACATGTCACTATTTTATTTGTTTTATTCGTCACAGGCCCGTCCTGGTCGGAGGCCCTCAAGTGCCAGCCGCTTACCGTTTGCATTCCTCTGCCGGCGTTTATTTTTTCCTTTTCGGACGGCGTGTTTGCTTCTTCGGCTTCACCATCGCCTCTTCCTCCTCCCTTCTCTTCCGGCGTCCCCTTCCGTCTGGAGGGCATCTAAGAACAGAAAGAGCAGGGAGGAATGACACCCCCCCCCAAAAAAAACGACGCTTCCTTCGGCGCTAAAGAAAGCCCAGGCCTGGAAGGGACGTGTCCTGTGAGAAAGGGAGCGAGAGAGGACTGACCGACCGCCCGGCTTGGTCATGAACTCCGGAGGGGGGGGGGAGACGTTGTTTGTTGTTGTTCCCCTTCAAAGGTCGGGCCGGGCTACTTTTAGATGAACTTGGGCCGGGCAAGTCCGGCTCCATCCTCCCCAAACAATCCCCGGCCACGAGGAGGGAAGGCGGCGGTTGTCTCTCCCACATCCCAGCTCCCCCCCCCCTCCGACCCCCGGCGCGCCTTCCCACAGCCCTCTCGCCTCAGCCCTCCTTCTTTCCCCCTCGCCGCTCGGGGCGAAGGAAGGACTCGACTCCGGGGATGGCCGCCTCGGTGACGCACCAGGGCCCGGTTGTTTTCTTCTTCGGGACGGTCGGGGGGAAACTGGAAAAACAAACAAGGCGGCCTTGCGTGCGACGGGCGTGGAGGGGAAGAAAGCCCGGGCATATCCTTTGGGAGGAAGGAACCAGGGTCTCCAGAGGGAACAGACAAAAGAGGTCGGGGAGTGAGGCGGGCGAGGCGGCTCCTCCTTCACCCCCCTGTGAACCCACGGCCTCCCGGTGGACTTCGCGCCCTAAGCCAGTGAAGGACGCGCCGGTGAAACGCTGGACACCCATCCATTCTTGATTCTCAGCTCGGGGAGACCTTAATGTGTTGGAATAACAACTCCCCGAATCTCCCTGAGGCAGCCTCATGCTTTTGCCTGAGTAGTGGTGGTGGTGGTGGTGTTTCTGGGATCTGTAGGCTTCAAAAGCAGCTTTTCAGTTCCTGTTTGTTTGTTTTTTAAATAGTTTTTCTCGGCCTCCACCACCCAGCGTGACATCTTCGAGACCAACCGGTTTTTGTTCGACCGAAGGTTTCAGAGATTACAACCGACCCAAGACAGTGGATTTTGATGAAAGATGAATAGGAGCACAAACCCACAGGATTTTACCCTGTCCTAATAAGGAATTTTTGATTTCTAAATTGAGCTGGAAGGAAGGTCTGTCCCCTCCCTCCAGTTTTCTGATGGGGAGAGCAATTCTAACCCCTCTAGAGGTTGTTGACTTCTAGTCCCATCAGCACATTTGGTGGCAACAGATCCTATGAATTTCAGACTTTACAACATCTGATGGCCAGAACTGTCCATCCGCACTTACTCCGTTTCCCCAAATTATATCCAAATAGGTGGAAAGTTGCTTTATTTCCACTTCACCCCTTTTTCTCCTTATGTCTTTAAAGGGCAGCTATTATCTTCCTGTTGATTTTATGAGGCTTTCTGGGAGTCCCTTGCTGCTAAAGGGTGGGGTGAAAAAAGTAAAAGAAGTAAGTTGCCTGGCTCTCATTGAATATAACCCCAACTAATCTTGACAAATTGGAATTAGAAGACAAGGCTTCTAAATCAGTAGGCATGAAACAGACACAAGGAAAAAAAATCTGATGTCCCTGGGTGTAGCTGTGTACACTAAGGGACATTTTATCATTTGAATGAACAGTTGCTACTCACAAACGGTGGTACAGGTAAATCACAGCACTTCATGTGTTTTTTAACTGAGGACAACACCTGGGTTACTCTTCCCTCAATCATCACCACTTCCCACCCCCCACCCCTTGTGATGTGCAAGTCTTTCTCCAAACATGTATACAGGAACATAGTCTCAACTCTGATCTAACAGATTGAAAACATTGCCTGGACTGATAGGATCTGCTAAGTGTTTAATAGCCAGATTTGTTGCAGTTACATGCCATCCAAGTGGATTCCAACAAATGGTGATTCTAACAGGTTTTCAAGATATCTGCAATATTCAGGAAATGGCTTACTATTGCCATCTCCCTGTGGTATTCCCTGGATAAGCTGAAGAGCCAGCGTGATCTGCAGCCTGGCACTCTTTCTGGTACACCACACTGGTGCTTTGTGATATCTAGATAGTTTGCAAAAATAAATTATCGCAGATCACACCTGATGTCATCTGATTTTGGAAGCTAATCAATATAAGGTAGTACTTGGATGACACACTATGAGGTAATACTAGAATCCTGCTGGGAACCTCAGTGGGCCACTGCTAGTCATCTGTTGGGCTAGATGGAGCAATGGTCTGTTTCAGTATAAAGTAGCTTCCTATTTTGCTATATTAACATGCCAAGAGGCAAAGATGCAAAGCACAGGAGATCTTTGTGGAAGAGAGAGAACATAGCAACCTACATGAGATGCAGTGCAAAGAATACTGTTTATATATGCCATTGCCGAAGTTTTTCCTCACCTGCAGCAGGTGCTCTCCCATATATCCAATGTTGGCAGTAATTGTAAAATGAAGGTTCAGACCAGCCATACTCCTAAATGGACAAAAGGAAATGATAGGTCAGGGAAAATGTTTCATTAGTGCATTGTGTGCACATGGTGGGTCCCCCCCACTTGGATTTTGGCCACTGAATAACTAAACACTGTTAGGATGAAACTGAATAATTGCCAGCACTGTCCTGTAGGTATCTACTGAGAAGTCAGTAACACTTAGTTCAGTTGGCCTGACTTTCCATTAAATATCATTCCAGCAATCTTAACCAGCATAATTAGTGATGATGAATTTTGGGAGTAGCAGTCCAATAAACATCTGCAGTTTATTATAAGCTGCAGTTTTCCACTCCTGAACTAAAATCAGCTGGAAGGTCATGGTTAAGTCCCATCTCCATTGGCTTCCCCCTTGAATCTATTTCCACAAACAGATCAAAACGTCTCTTCCCTGCATTTTCCTGTCTAGAAAGCATTTGGAAAGCTTGATCCTCGGGTTCTGCGGAGAATCTGCTTCAGCTTGGCTGGTTCTGCTGCCGGGAGAGATCAAGTTATCCATCAGCCTCTCTCGGCGGATCCCAAAGAGCATCCCAAGTGATTAACAGGCCGGTTTAATGGCGAAAGATTGTGTAAAGTTAATGCAGCCACGGGAGGTGCCTCTTTCAAACAGCTGTTCCTCATACATATTTCATCACACAATCAGATAATGCGTCCCACCACCTTCTCAATTATTCCCAGATAAACATTTTCGGGACGTTTTGACATCTGTCTTAGTGCCTGCTATTAATTTAGTAATCACAGAGAGTTATAAGCATAAATGGAGAATGTGTGTGTCTGAAAGAGTGAGAGGGAGCGGAGTGGCTTCTTAAACCACATAAAGTACTTAAAGATACAATCCTATACGAGTCTTCTCAGGAGTAAGTCCCATTAAGTTCAGTAGGATTTGAACACACATCCTATTGAACTTGCTCTACGGCTTAAAATGAATCTTACTCCCTGAGTAAATAGGCATAGGATCAGGCGATTATAATCAGAAAGAACTAAGAGCAACAAATCCTGAACGCAGTTACCAGGGTGGACAGGGTGGGACTCATTTCCAAGAAAATAGAAATACAATCGTGGAACGTGTTTCCCTTAAGGCTGAGATCCTTCCCGCATTTAGGAGTGGTATCAGCAGCACGATTTGGTCGTTTTGGACTCTTGACCTTCCCAGCCTGCTTTTCCTCCAGTGACCTCAAAGCAGTGTCCCTGGCTCACCTCTTCAATACAACCCTGTGAAATGGGTCTGCCAGAGAGTGATTGACTTAAGGTCACCCAGTGAGCTTCAAAGGCTCTGGGAGGACTTGAACTCGGCTCTCCCAAGGTCCACTGCCACCACTATATCAAGACTTAGTGGCTTCATGGGATGTGGTGTGTTTTATTTTCCTTCTTCTATCGGTGATCCCGTTGTGGGATCCTTAAGACTTCTGTCCCCCGAAAATCCTATCCTGATGACACCACTACAGCTTTCAGTGGACGGTTCTGGGTAGGATCGGGCTGCGCAGAGATGAGGCTGGTCCGGCTGCAATCCTCGCGCAACTACTTGAGAGCTACTTCCGAGTAGACCTGACTAGGGTAGAGCAGGGCAGGAGTACTGTATTCCTTTGCCTACTAACGTGACAAGAAGAGTCAGGGAAGTCAGCGGGGGCTACGTCGGTGCCCTTAGGATCTCTCTGGGAGAGTCAAACTGGACCTCATTCTCGCTAAATCATTGCATCCTCAAAACCAGAACGTGATGTTCAGGGCAAGCTGTGTTTTAAACCCTTCGTACTTGCATTTTAACCTTTGCCAGACGCCATGAGTTCCTTTAGGGCAGAAAGGTGGCATAGAAATGATATAAATAAAGCAAAATAAATAAAAGGAAGTTGGTAGACGAACATTGGAGTGCGGGGAGCGGACAAGTCCCCTCTCTTACATTCCTCGTTGCTCCAAAATGGTGCCTCCAAAATGGTGGCAGGAGGCAATTCGGTGGAACGAAACAGCAAACAAGAAACCCAAAGCGAACGTGAGTCCTGCCTACCTTCTCCTTTCCCGGTGCCGATCTCTGGAAAAAAAAAATCTAAGGCCGTCTCCAGAGCATGTGACGTTGAAAGGACGACCCATTCATCCAGTTCAATGGCTGCTGGTTGACCTGCTGAGATGCTCAACACGTGGAAACCCCTTTCCTGGGGGCCGGAAGGGGGGCTGTTTAGTGGACCTTTCAGGTGTCCGAGATCAGGATGGAAAGTCGAAATCGGCCTGGGCTCTACGGCTTAGCAACCCGATCCTATGCTCCCTGGGATGTAAACAATATATAAGACTACAGGAATTGCCTGAAGCTTTTGCACTTTATAATCCAGTACATCAGGATTGTAGAAGGGATTTACGCAGGAAATACAGAAAGCATTACGAGTCCTCGTTTTCTTCATCGATGTCCATCCATTCATCTTGGGGGGGGGGGGGCTTTTTATCAAATGATTTGGAAAGCAGTTTAAAACTACGTAATTGAATTGAGATTCCTTATAGTGTGCTCCAGATCTGTTCGGAAGAAAGTCCTGCTGAACTGGGTGGGTGGGGGGAGCATATACTGATGAGCAGCCCCTTGCTAATTTCCTTTGGAGAGCAGATTCATTGAGCCAACTAGTTAACGGTAAATCAGCACTTTGCTAAATCCCATTGCCTCAGCAGGTCTACTTTAGCTGGGAATGCAACAGATTGCATTATATAAGAGGTGCTCTTTAAGGCCTCCAGTAAGTTCACTGGTCTAAAAGTACCCATCTGAGGAAGAATTCAAGGGAATTAGTTCCCCACAGCCTGTGGGGCATCTATCCTGTGGGCAGTCAAAGCGAAAGTCTATGTAGGTCTAGAAAGCAGATTCGGGTTAATTCACTCAGGAGAAAATCCCACTGAATTCTGAGTAAACAGAATAATTTTGAGCTGTTGTCGATTTCTCCGTTGCACTGTTAAAATTGCACCCTCACCATTATGGGTCTTTTAAAATGAAAGAAAACAGGAGATGCTCGGGGACCCCTGAGGGGGAAACAATAATAATGCAGAATGTCTAAAGAACGTGAGAGGGGCTGCCCCACAAAAAATAAGCCCCCACCCACCCAGCCTTTGTTCGGCCTACAGAAGAAACGATTTGTAAGAAAGGAGTTCGGAGTCGAGTACAGTATTTATTACTTTTGCCGAATCCCTTAAAGGCTACATACTTACTGAGAGTTTTCGAGTCATCTAGAACTCTTTGAAAGTGGTGGAAAATATGAGGGCAGGGTGAGAGGCATTCAGACCTCAACACTGAACCAGGTGTGAAACCCATAATTCTGGGAAAGAGGAGACTGGATGGACACTTTTTGTCTCGCACAGAATCTGCGAACTCCGTCAGCACCCTGTCTTCAAGAACAGCGGGCATCGCATCTCGCTCAGTTTGAAGGACTTCGCTTGCCTCTTCTTCTGTTCCCAAGTTTCATACCGTCTTCGCTTGACTTGAGAGTTGCGGAGAATTGGAACGTTACTCGTGTCGGTAATTTTTACAATTACTCAGTCCAGAACGTCGTGATTGGACCACAATAGCTAAATTACTTTTCATTTTTAATTTTCTGTTTCTAAAAGAAGCCTGAGCAGCTCAACTCAACCCGTTCTCGGAAATGTGAAAAGGACACGGGAGTAACTCTGTGAATTAAAAAAATGAATTCAAACATCGCGTGAAACATGTGGCATTTGAACCGCGAAGTGCTATCCGCTGATGCGGGAGAAGCTGCGAGGAATTTTGCTCAGTAGCGTGCTCGCGTCAGTGGCTTTTCGTGACAGCCTAGACGGCTACTACCGAGATCTCCCTTTCTAGGCAACTATTAAATGTGCTGAAGCCCGACACTCTTTCTGCATCTGGCTACACCTGCGTGGTAAGTGGCCTTTTAAGCAAAATATACACAAAGTCGTTACTGTGGAACGGGATAGCTCAGTGGTATAGACATCTGACTGCGGGGGCCAAGGTTGGGAGTTCGATTCCCCACTGTGCCTCCTTGACAACGGCTGGACTCGATGATCTATAGGAGTTCTGCAGTTCTAAGATTATGATGATTTGTTATGGTAGCTTTCCGCAGGGAAACGAGTCCCTTTCTCGACTTTGACCTCTTCCATTAAATATATATTTATATACCTTCCAACTTCTGAACTATCAGCTGTTGACCATCCTCCCTCCCTTGGCAACATGTCCAAGGGAGGGAGGAAAATAAAGATAAGCCTGCGTCTCCTCCGCTATTTCTACCTTTTCCCTTTTCTTAAATATGTCCTTCACCAAGCATCTCACCCTCTCCGCACGTTTGTTTTGGGGAAGGGGATACCTGAACACCTGAAAATAGAATATGTCCACTTACCTGAGAGTAATCCTCCTTGAACTCAGTGGGTCTTACTTCTGCGGAAGCCATTGCCCTGATGGTCCTACCTGTGTCGGGACATTTGTCCTTAAATGTGCGCTGATTCAAAAACATTTACTGATGCTTTTTAAAATATGAGAGGTTCTTGCCAGGAAAGGGGGGAAAAAGAGTGGGGGTTTGCTTTGCAAAAAGGCTTAGGCAACATTTCAAATAAATAGCAAAACAAGTCTGCAAACCTCTGCTGAATAGGAAAATAATGCGCTCTTGCTAACACTCATATTAGCATTCAGAACGCTGTCCCGTCACACTCAGAATCCGTGTTTGCACATATAGGAAAGTAACAATAAAGTCTTTTCAGTCAAGTAGGTTCGGAAGGAAGAGCCCCTGATTTCAACAAAAATTGGGACAGACCAGCCAAACTTTTAAAACCGATTGATTTCAAAGCAAAATACCTACTGCAGTTACTTAGAGTTGGAAGTACAATTTTAAGACTATATACTCGGAAGTGAAGGCCACTGATTTTTGTTTGATTTACTCCCTAGAAAACAGGTTTAGGGCTGAACCATTAAAATGCATTCATTTGGACTGGATTCTGCCCTTTGATATTTGTCTGTAGATATTGAGACGTATTTTCCTTCCAGTTACAAATCTAC